CTTTTTTTTAAGATGCGCACAATGTTTCTTCGTCACTACCGCAACTACAACCGTCTAATAATCGCACGATCCAGAAGTTTGTGGAAGCTTATGTTGATAGGTATATAGGTGGGTATCCTGTGGTAAGCCACTTGTCTGAATTGCTTATTGTTGAACAAATTAAAACATTTCTTAAATTGTAGCATCCCTTTTGATCGTCTAGTTGTTTCTGAATTTTTTTGTTTAAGATGGACTCAATCTTTCCTCATCAAAGCCACGACTACTATCGCCGAATAACCGTACTATCCAGGAAGTTGCCGAGGCATATGTAGACCAGTACCTAGGTGGGCATACTGCGGCATGTAGCCCGACATTATTTTTCTGCTTTAATCTTTAAATGAGTTTATTATTTACGACATTCCTTCTCCTGGATTTTGTATTTCTTTTTTCTGTTTAAGATTACCTCAATCTTACCTCCCCGCAAGCGCAACTAGGACCTGATAATCGCACAATCCAGAGTTTTGTTAGGGATTATGTGGACGAGTATATAGGTTTGTATAACCTGACTGTATTATTTGTTTTAATCTTTAAAGAAACTGTTCACTTCGGTCGATTATATTTAACTCATTGTAACATGGATTCCCCTTTGCTGCTTTTCTATTTAAGACGGTCTCAACCTTTCTTCGTCGCAACCACAACCACCTAATAACCGCACAATCCAGACCTTTGTAAAGGATTATGTGGATGAATACGTCAGTGAGTATACCGCAGAACGCCATGGCTATTTTGTTTGTGTTAATCATTGGAAAGGTTGGCATTTCCTTATAGCTTTTCACTTGAACTGATTGTCCTTTGTTTTTTTCTATTCAAGGTGAACTCAACTTCTCCTCATCACAACCTCAACTACGGCCACAAGTGCCTGATAACCGCACTATCCAGAACTTTGTCAAAGCTTTCGTCGATGAACATATAAGTGAGTGGCACAGTAATAATAATAATAATAATAATAATAATAATAATAATGATAATAATAATAACAATAACAATAATAATAGTAATAGTAATACTAATAACAATAAGAGTAATAGTAACAGTAACAGTAACAGTAATAGTAATACTAATAGTAATAGTAGTCATCATCATAATCAACTTTATTTATCGAGGGTAACACAGAACAATAGTGACTGAAAAACCAGTGACCCTCTTATAAATAATTACAGAATAAAAAGATGGACAGTGAAATACCATATAACTCTACTTGTGCTGTTACGTTTAAGTTAATCTTCGAACAAGTTTATCAGTAATAATGTTCCAAGACTTAAACATCAGTTTACCGACACTGTTTTCTTTTCTATCCAAGGTGAGCTCAATTTTTCCTCGTCAGAACTGCAACTACAACCTTCAAATAACAGAACTATCCAGAACTTTGTAAAGGATTACGTAGATGAGTACATAGGTTAGTACAATGCGGAACGCCACATGACTGTTGTTTGTGTTTATATCTTTTAAGATGAAGATGTCCTTTCACCTGAATTCGATTCTTTTTTTATTCAAGGCGGACTCAATCTGTCAGCCTCGTCAGAACTGCAACCACAATCGCCTAATAATCGAACAATCCAGAACTTTGTGAAGGATTATGTACATAAGTATATAGGTTAGTATAATACGGAATGCTACATGTCCTTGTTGTTTGTGTTTATGTTTATTAAGATTGTCATATGACCTAACATCCTTCCATATGTATTGCTATTTTCTTTTTCATTCAAGCTGGACTCAATCTTTCCTCGTCTGAACCTAATAACCTCACCATTCAGAGCTTTGTAGAGTCTTACGTAGATAAGTATATAGGTGGGTTTACTGTATAATATCACACGACTGTGTTCTTTGTGTTCATATTTAAGTTACAGATTTAGATAACGAATCAGCTGTTCATTTCAGCCTGTGGAATGCCATGGCTGTGTTCCTTTCGTTTATTTCATAAGGTTGTGACATCTTGTCAGTCCTTGATGTCTCTTTTTTTCAACTTTAGGTGAACGAGAGTTTCCTTCCTCACAAGTGCCTGACAACCGGACCATCCAGAACTTTGTGGAAGCTTATGTAGACGAATATGTCGGTTAGTATACTGTATTATTATATTGCTGTGTCTCACAAGGACTGGGAACTACCGAATTCATGAATTTGATTGGTTGAAATCGATATTGAAAGCGGTCTAGATTTTCCCATCTAGACCGGTTTCATTTTGCGGTGAAAACGTTTGCAAACTAAAATGCAAAAATATGGACTATTTTCTCCTAACAATATTTATTTATGGAAGTGCCAAAAGACTGATGAGCAAACTTTGGCAGAATTAAGTTCGGCTCATCGCCGTTTGTAAGCAAAATGTCGACTAGTACAACCCAGTTACATTAAACAAATTAAATTTTTCTAGTTTGCCATATAATAAACATCTTATTAACCGAGTTTAGTCGGTCTGTATNTATGATACATTATTTCCTCTGTATTATAAAATCATGCGAATAAAGCCAATCAATGAAAGCCTTGCTGTGCCATGCTATCCTTTACCATGCTATGCCTTTTCATGCTATGCAAAAGCCATGCCAAGCAAAACCGAACGCTGCGATGCCTACCAAGCTATCCTGCGCCATTCCATGCTATGATTTATGCCTTCCTGTCTGTATTCTCAAATCCTTCTCACTGGCCAATCCTTCGCCCTTCAATTCTTCTACCTTCCTTTACTTGTTCATAACTAAAATTCTTCTGGTTCACTGCAGACATGTGATACATTAAATTTTAATCATAACCAGATGAACTTGATGAATCCTTGAAGCTTTTTTTTCTCGTAGACTTGTAATTAATTGTGTTTGCAAGAGAGTAACGTTTGCGTAAACGATCCTGAATTTCAGCATTGTCCATGGTTTGATTTCTTTTTAGATGTAAACATGCACTGATTCTTAGAAAATACGTAGTGATGTTTAAAATTCTGACTCCTAACAGATGTAAAGGCAATCCCTGGTCCACCAGGCCCCCAGGGAATCCAGGGTCCGGTGGGTCCGGTGGGTCCGGCCGGTCCTCCTGGTAACCAAGGCCAAAACGGACCCCCGGGTATGCCGGGTGCGTCGGGTCCCGCAGGGGCAGCCGGATCTCCCGGTCCTCCAGGCTCCCCAGGTTCACCGGGTTCTAATGGGCTTCCCGGGCCTCCCGGACCCCCTGGAAGTCGTGGTCAACGCGGATCACGAGGTTTGCCTGGCCCCCCGGGGCGGCCTCCAAAAGAAGAAAACAAGGAGAAGGAGCCGAAGGAACCGAAGGAAAAAGCACCATCCTTTGAAGGATTCAGTGAGTTTTTATTCCTTATATCGAGAAAAAGAATCATGTGATTATAGTTTGAAAGAAAAATAGGTTTTATTTAACAAATTGACGTCAGTTTTTCATGCGTCTGACCTGTTATCAAACATAAATTTCTTCATAACATTGTCAAAGTAGCTGCGGATCTGCAGAGTACTTTCACAATGTTATGACTAAATTCATTGTCAATAACAGGACAGACGCACGAAAAACTGACATCATTTTATTTTTTTTACGAGATCAAATTGTCAAATTGTCCGATCTCGCTCGTTGGCGTTTGCGGGCATAAATTATGAATGTGTCTGTCCGCTAATATTGACAATGAAAATTAACCTATGAGCGCGCGAGAATTCTGCAGTTATCGTATAAACCAACAGCGAAGATGATATGTGTGGAGGAAGGGATTTCTCCTTTTATTGTGCTGAAGGTTTCCCGTTTTATTCTGGTCAAATTATTCCATAATGTGTTTTGGTTATTTCCCACGGTCCCAGATATGCTAAAATAAAATGATAAAACGATATATATATTTTTTTTCATTGTTTAGCTAAGCCCAACATTACTATTCGACCTCCAAAATCATACACAGCCACGAAGGGTGACTCGATACAATTTCAATGCTCTGCTCAAGGAACACCTAAACCAGAAATAATCTGGGCAAAAAAGACCAGCGGGAGAGCTGTCATCGGAAGTCACTTCGTCTTGGAAAACGCGCTCCCAGAGGACACTGGGAACTGGACGTGCAGGGCAAGTAACTTCTTGGGTACGGACACCGCTGACATTGAAATCGTCGTCGCAAGTAAGTGCTTATGAGCAAGTTATCAGATGTACAAAGTCAAAAGAAGCTGTCGAAGTACTTTGATTGATTCATCCCAGCCTTTTGAGTCCTGTTTTTTTAACTTAAGATCATACCACTGGACGTCTTAGGGAGGCGCGATGGTTTCATGGTTAACACGCTCGACACCGGATCGAGCGGTCCGGGTTCGAGCCCAGGCCGGGGACATAGTGTTGAGTCCTTGGGCAAAACACAGTTACATAACTGGGCACAGGCGAATTTAATACTGGGGGGTAACCCGGTGACGAACTAGCATCCCTTCCACGAGGGAGCAGAAAAGCTTCTAGTCGCTTCATGCCACAGAAACTGGAGATAACTGCCGGTCTGACGGGCCACTTGGCTCGTATGCAGAGTAAACTTTACCTTAATGGACTCCTTGATCATCTCCTGAGATGCTGCCCTGCAAGGAGATACTGCACGATTACACTATACTATAGGTACATCGTTTGTCCTGCAGTTAACTCTAAAACGTTTGTCTTTGTTAGCGGAGCCTGTGTTCACCATACCACCAGAACCAAAGGTCACGGCCTTCACGGAACAGCTCACGGAACTCAAATGCGTCGTGGAAGGGTTTCCGCCACCGAAAGTGGAATGGCGTCGTCAAGGCAACAAAGAGCTTCCCTTTGGCAGACACTACATCCGAAATAACAACCTGTACTTACAGAATCCTATTAAGGAGGATGAAGATATTTACATGTGCCACGCCTCTACTCCAGCTGGATCTGTCATGGGAGGTACCGAGGTCGCTGTACAAACTTATGGTAAGATATCCGCTAGTAAAGTATCTACACGCATAGGTCAATTTCGATATGTTAAAATTCTAACTGCTGAAATTTCTAACTAAAACAAAAGAAATTGCATCGAGGATGCGGGACGAATAATAAATATATTTTGTTTTATTCCCCTAAGCCTCGTAGCCAAGTTAGAATTAAAAGACATCAACAATGCCCTTATAATTCGATCTGTAGTCACAATAAATTCGAGGTTACGTCGGATAACTTTCTGTGAATCTGTGACTTCTGTGTTACTGTTTGATGTGAAAAATGAGCCAAATTTTCAAACCACAAATTAGCTTTGACAGAAATGGTTCCCGGCTAGCCATTTCTAAAATAACCAAAGCTGGACAAAATTGTAAAATTGCCCTCTAAAGAAGCAATGAGTGTATAAATTTTCACGTGAAGGAATTTGAAACAAATTGTTTCACACAAAAGCACTACTCGAAGCTTTCAGTTGGATGGTCCCACATTAGGTTTTTATCCTCAGAATTTAACTTCCAGCAAGAGAAGATCAAAATAAGAGAGTGAATCCCCCATATAGTCCTTACATCCAAGGTAATCCCTCTTAAGTTATCTTTAGACATGGTACCCAGTTCTTCCGCGGATGTTACTCGCCCGATGCGTGGACAGCCCAAGCGACTTTCTCGAAATTACCCGAGACGAAATGGCGGGAAACGTTGTGAAAAGTGATTTTATATGTTTTGGTTTTCAGAAAACGTTTCACTCTCAGCCGTCTTTTCGGTCGACTGGGCTTCCGTTTGCTTTGTGTTCGTTTGGCCGTTCATTCTGTTTTAGGAAATTAGATATACAATGTAAGCAAAGAACAACAGTAATGGCAACGAGTACAATGGCTGTGTCCGCGTGCGTTATAATTTTTTGTTCATTTCTTTGCCGTTCTTTACAAAACAACAACGTGAAATGACCACGATGGTCAATTTTTGAAATTACTTTTGCGAATTTTGACGCTGTCTTGCATATTCTGTTTGGCATATCTCTGGCAGTGATAAACAAACTCAATGAATACAAATTATGAAGAGACTCGTAGGTTAACTATAAAGTCTATTAATTAACTATTAATCCACGTTTTCCTTGGCTTTGTCGTCGTTGTTTCTAAAACTGTCTTTTGCTGGTTGGGCGGTGAGCGTCAGTCTACACTTTTGACTTTTGCACTCGTTCGGCTGCTCATTTCTCTGCCGTTCATTCAGTTGTTATTGTTTTTGCAGGAGAAATTTTTCTCTTATTTAAACTCCTATTAAAGTTTCGAAATGTATTGAATGTATTAGCGAGGGCCGAAGCTCCTTTGGTTCTTTGATGTTAAAAGAATACATCCCCACAGCGAAACGAAACATAACCAGATCCTCCACGAAAACATCGACGCAACTCGCGAGTAAAATCTGCGAAAGAACTGGGCACCATGTCTAAATACAAGTTAAGAGGGATTACCTTGGGTATATTTATGTGGGGTTACCTTGATCTTCTCTTGCTACAAGTTAGAACCCTCCCGTGAGTGAAAACTGTCCATAATCACGTTATCTATTGCCTCCTTTTCCTAGAACCTGTAGAGGTAAAAGTCATTCCTCCAAGTGTAGTAACAGTAAATGAATTTGATACTCCGGTCCGTGTGAACTGCTCTGCACGAGGCGTGCCTATGCCAAATATAACGTGGTACAAAGATGGCGTTGCCATGCCAACGAGAACAATTATCGTTGGCGATGAAGTTATTGGAGAATTAAACCTGGAACGTCTACGACCCCTTGAGCAGGGAGACTATAAGTGTGTTGGAGCAACTGCTGTGAGAAGTGAGCCGTTCTCTTACACAACACAGATTCGTAAGTAAATGCAATTCTTTTGTCCTGGGTATTACAGGTTTCCCGGCCCTAACGTCCTTGCTCGTGGAAGGTGGGTAACAGTGGAGTAGGGGACTGCCTGTCAGGGTGAAGTTCAGTGGGACGTAGGTCCCGAGGCCGCTACGGTAGCTGTGAAGGCCGATCAGGAACCCCGAACAAACTGGCAAATGGGGGCTCTGGGAAGTCTGCAGGGGGCTGGTCGCCCCCTCAGACTGGCTCTTGACTACAGAAGCTTTTGTGTCCCATGGCGCAACGAGGACAGATGATGAGATGATAATAGGTTTACCCGCTCACTTGTATGGATGGAGAGGAAAAGGCTCTGAAACCCAGTGTAATCCATTTTGAACCATATTCAAAATTGTTTCAAGAAACTCATGCTTCTGAAATGCCGTCCCCTTAAATTTCTTTTACGGCACAACTCCAACCAAAACGACTTGGGACTTCCCTCGTAATCTGAGGTCCTGGGTTCAAATCCTCCTCCCTACCACTAGATAGATTTTTGTAGGTTGCAGACAGCCTCCCAACCATTTGGTATTTTTACAATATTTTTTTCTTCGTGTATAGTGTCCCCAGTTAGCACACCAGTGCGAAATGCTATGATACTTGTGGTGATTTTTTTTTCGTAGTATAGCAATCTTACAATTTGTTAAATCTTTTCGATCCGCCCTATACATCACAACTGAATGACTTGGCTGGTACATAAAGTGCAGGTTATTTTTTAGGTGCCCTTGGCCTCTTTTGAATATCACGCTTTCTTCAGTTCATCGCAACGCTCGTTGCCTTATCTAAATCAGGCAAAAAGAAAAACTTCAATTTGAAACAGCAGCTGGAGTTTTCAAGGAAGAGCTTAATGAAAAAACGGTCTCAGTGGCAGGGACTCCGTCACGGTTCGGAAGAAGCTACGTCGCGAGTCTTATTTAAATTTTCAGTCCCCGGTGATTCCTTACGAATCTTGCCCAGCCTCAACTACCCATGTTTCGTTTCTGTTCAACTCTTTGGTTTCTTTCTATCTTGGTAAGTTAATTTTTGAGATTCCGTTCCACTCAAAGGTAATTTCTTCACAAACCTCTTTAAAATTCTTTTCTCTCAAGAGCTCAAAGAGTGTCGTGAACTGGCAGATCCTCTAGATGGCTACAAGTTGAGTGACGGTTACAACGTCGTGGGAAGTATTGTAAGGTTTGCGTGTAATCCCGGGTGTATGTTGTACGGATCTTCCGCAAGAGTTTGTGGAAAAGATGGAAAATGGAGTGGAACACAGCCCTATTGTAAGTAGAAAGAGAGCACTGTTGAGGCAACGCTATTTAACAAGTAGAGTCGAGCTTGCCGTGTAATAGATCAGTAATAGATCACAAATGACGTCAAAATGTGGTGAGAGCAGAAAAAGTGGCACGCGAGGCGGTAGCCGAGTGTGTCACTCATGTTCTTACCACATTTTGACGTCTTCTGTGATCTGTTGCTGAACAGACGCACGGCAACATGGAATCTATTTGTTTTATATAATAATGAAGAAACAAAACCCAATGTTAATGACATCATGTATGCGTGTGTCCTCCAATAGATCATAAGTGAGAACTAANGCTTAATGAAAAAACGGTCTCAGTGGCAGGGACTCCGTCACGGTTCGGAAGAAGCTACGTCGCGAGTCTTGTTTAAATTTTTAGTCCCTGGTGATTCTTTTCAAATCTTCCCCAGCCTTAACTACCCATGTTTCGTTTCTGTTCAACTCTTTCGTTTCTTTCTATCTTGGTAAGTTAATTTGTGAGATTCTTATTTATTTTTATTTATTCATTTATTAAGCTTCGGCCTACTATTACACATAAAGAAAAAGAAAAAGAAGAGGAAGCAAAAAAAAAAAAAGAAAAGAAAAAAACAGACAGCAAAACAAAACAAAATGGCCAGGGGAGCCGCTACAGCTTAGCCAATTACAGCGGCCCCCTTCCACTCAAAGGTAATTTAATTTCTTGACAAACCTCTTTAAAATTCTTTTCTCTCAAGAGCTCAAAGAGTGCCGTGAACTGGCAGATCCTGTAGATGGTTACAAGTTGAGTGACGGTTACAACGTCGTGGGAAGTATCGTAAGGTTTGCGTGTAATCCAGGGTGTATGTTGTACGGATCGTCCGCGAGAGTCTGTGGAAAAGATGGAAAATGGAGTGGAACACAGCCCTATTGTAAGTAGAAAGA